CCCCAAAACCCCAAAACCCCAAAACCCCATTGTCTAAGTATGTAAGTGATTGTTTAATGCTGTGACTAACACATTCTGGTATTTGTTGTGGAATATAAATTTATAAATTAAAGCAATATCAATTAAAATGAAAACATTGAATGAATAAGTAAACTCAGCAGCTAAAAATGATATTTCTTCTTAAAAAGAATGTCATTCTTAAACCTCGACTGCCAGTTGAACCGGAAAAAAGAGAACTCACAACGACCGTCTCTTAGACTCTAATAATGACTGCGAGGACTACAGAGATCAGACTAGTTCTAATCTAGACTCTGTCAACAGGTTATTTGAAGGGGAGGAAATGGAGGGCTTTTCAAGCTATAATGCCAGTAATTTGCTATACAAGAGACCCGCTTTTGAAGGATCTGTCGTGAATCTCTACGGATCCAATCAGTACTCGCAGTAAATATACGATGAAAACGAAGAGCCAGACTCCCTCTACACAGCATTCGACCTTTTAGGGATGCAATCGACTCAACATTACGAAGAGCAGCAATTTACTGATGTGATGAGTTAGTAGCATTTGATGATTAGCAAGAACCAGACCTTAGAACAAATCCAAGATTTGCAATCAGAAAAGATATTTGAATAATCTGATCTTCATTTTCAGAACATTCAAACTGTTTCTGATCTTCAATAGTAACTAGCGAAAAATCAACTATATCTTGCCTAAACATATTCAGCAGCTGCAAACTCTCAATAAATATAGAGCTAAGCCCTTAGCGAATTGACATCACTAGCTGCCAACGAAAGATTAGACGCTTAACCAGGGGATGACGCTATTTACTAACTAGAAGCTAAAATCCTATTTAACATATAGCAGAGGGACCAGATGTACTACTCGGTTAATCCATACTATCTGCAAAACAAGCAAAAGCATCTCTAATGGCACATGAGAGTTTTATTAATTGATTGGATGATGGAGGTATGTGATGAGTTTGCGCTAATGAGGGAAACATACCACCTTGCTGTGACTTTCACCGATCTTTTTCTTAGTCGATAGATATGCCCGATTGAAAAATTATAATTGCTAGGTGCTAGTAGTCTAATGCTCGCTTGCAAAATTGAGGAAATAGTGTGTCCTCGTGTAAGAGACTTTGCTTTCGCAACAGATCATGGGTTCAATCATTAATAACTAGTTGAAATGGAAGTGGATATTTCAAGGGTAAGTATATCTTTTAAGAAAAATCCCCATTTTTAATATTAATCTCTTTCATTAGGCTATGGAATTCCAACTATATCCTGTAACATTAAACTATTGGGCAAACTATGTAATGGCTAAGTGGGATATTTATGCCAGAACCAACCCCTTCAACTTTGCCTTACTATCAGGTATTGTTGATGAAGACTCTCCAAGGCCAATGAAAGGACAAATTCCATTTTTCAAGACTGATAACATTGAAGATTATCGCAGGTTTAGGAGTATATTGCAGGTACTTGATCTTTCACTTCTTGATTTGGAATCTTACAAGTATAACAAGCTTGAGATTGTAGCCAGTGCCACATACTTCTAAATTGGCTTGTTCTATTAAGTATTTACTAGAAGAGATATATCAATGATGCCAAATATCGAAACTCTCCTAATAAACATTGAATAGCAAGGACTGGAGTTCTCTCTTATGATGCAGAATTTTTTAGGAATGAATTTTAACCTGAATATCCAGGAGATAGTCGGAACTCTATAATATGTTTCTCGGCTCTTCGGTCTCGAGCCTTGTCTCGACTTTCCTATTATTATATAAAAGCAAAAAAGAGAAATTGTAAGTCACATACAAAATTAGAAGATTTTATTTATAAGCATTTATTCGTTGTATCTTAATACTTTTCATAGAAAAATCAGGAGGAGTTTTTTTCATTTCAATCGCATGTTAAAGGGGGTATGGAGTACGTTAAATATATAAAGTAGCAATTTAGAAATTCTCAATCTCAAAATCAACACTCTTAACAATGATAAGAATAAGGAAACCGTCTTTACTTAAGATGGAACTAATAAATGGTTAGCTGCTAGTATTAGATGGCTATCTCAATATAATAAATAGTCTAGAGGCTAATAATCCAACCTTTACTTAAATTAATCTATTTAATTCCTTTAATCTCTCATTTGTGATTTTATGTCATCTTTATGGGGTTTTGGGGTTTTGGGG